TCTATCGGAAGGCATTACTGGATCGTTAACCTCTGAAATCTTAACTTTCTTTCTTATAAGAGAGGGGGAAAGAACGACTTCTGAATAGGGTCTTCTAAGGTCGTCGATAGAATATTGAAAGTTATCAGGACTTGTTTGTTCTTGGTCATTGTTTGAGGTTAGAACTAGATATTTATTATTCAGAACCGGGAAGTTCTTGGGATCGATATCATCAATAGAAATGGTCTCTCCTGCCTTAATTTTATTCTGGATTGCTAGAAGTCTGTCATTCAGGGTCAGTTTGATATTTTCGGTTTTCAGCATCTCAAGTTTTTTGGTTGCTTCATGAAAGCTAAGATTTTCAAAGGCCATAATTTTTTTAATAGCTTTCTGTTCAAGTAATGAAGGACAGGAAGGGTCAAAGGTTTTGTGGGGACCTTTGCAATGAAGACATTTGGTTGTATTAGGGCAAATATCATGCGCAGCATGTTGGTCTGAGCAGTTTGGGCATCGATTAAGACCTTTACAAGTTAAGATACCCTTAAATTCAGCACGATGGCCATNGAAGGACACGCAGGATCAAAGGTTTTGTGGGGACCTTTGCAATGAAGACATTTGGATGTATTAGGGCAAATATCATGCGCAGCATGTTGGTCTGAGCAGTTTGGGCATCGATTAAGACCTTTACAAGTTAAGATACCCTTAAATTCAGCACGATGGCCATAGTTTAAACAGTTAGAACAGGTTGTAACGTTGTAGATATAGGGGGTAGCTTTGCAACGAGAATAGAAGATATAAAAGAAGTCAGGACGGGTAGTACCTTCCCAAAGAAGTTCGAGTTTAGGGGTAGGAGTTAAAACACCTTTCTCATTTCTTCGGAAGATACGTCGAACTGAGATAACATTAGCATACTTATCTTTTAGATAATTGCCTATAGATTCAATGCCTAAGTCTGTATGTACGTCATTGATTACTAATCTACGAGTAATATAATTGAGGGGAATGAAAACCCTAGCATTTTCATAGGGGAGAATAGTTTTGTGATTGGAAACCAGATTGTTAGCATATTCGCGTTTCACAAATTCGATATTGACTAAACTTTTGTTAATCTTTTTGATGGACTTAATACCGACAATATTACATCTATAAAGGGCTTCACCTATAAGGGTAGCATGTTTGTTACCTAAACCATCATAAGATAAGGAGATAACAAAGGGGCCAGTTGAGTTATCAGGATACAATAAATCATCAATTTTCTTAAGAATAATCGTTTTTCTACTTTCGGTAGCATTAACTAAAGGATCGGCACTTACGGAGACAGAAGCATTTTGGGTTTGGGAGTTAATACCAGGGGGGTCCCCTGGATCTACTGGGGGATCAGACATTTTTAGGCTGTCATCGGGAAAAAGAGGTTAGAAAAGACGGACTTACCACATGGAACGGAGATAGATTAACAAAAACTTAGAAAAGGATAAACAAAAATAACCAAAGAAATTGACTAGAAAAATGAGGAAAATAGAAAACTAGCTGGAAGACATAGGAACTTAAAAACAAAAAAACGGTAGTAAAAAACTAGCGAGAACCAAGAAGATAAGGAAACGGAAGTAATACGCACTACACACTAGTCAGCTCGGAGGTTCGCAATGGAATGTGAAATTGTAAATTTTGCAATGATAAAGTAAAGGACGGCAACTGTGTAAACTTTCAATCAATGAACAAAGAACAGTGGTGGGGGTAATTATGCAGGATTTTGTTTACGTTTGAAAGTGAGGTTATTTTGTGATCGAAAGTTGTGTAATCCTACTTTATTTGATGTGAAGTATCCATTTCACAAGTAACTCAGTGACTATGGTTTGTAGAG